AGCAGTACTCGATTCTTTCTTCCCATCTTTGGATCTATGGGTGGCAGGGCTCTGTTCCTTTGCTCCATCTTTGAGTCTCTGAGCAGCAGGACTCTGTTCCTTCTGCCCATCTTTAAGTCTCCGAGCAGCAGCAGCAGCCGCTATCCGACTACTTCTCTCCTTGTTGTTCTCCTCGCGATGATGGAACTTCAGCTTATACGCTCCTCCTCGGTTATTGAACAGATCGTTGATTGCAACTTCGAAATGATGCTGTTTGGAAATCGGTTTGAAAATACCCGCTTTGGTGCGATACCCGAGGGCCCCATGACCAAGTCTGAGAGGCGACTCGCGGGTCTGGTTGATGATCTCCTCGAATTCGCGAATGAAGCTCTTCAACGAGTAGCTGGATGACTGGTTCACGGGTTTGCCCGCTTCGAGGAATCGTGAGGCAGCTAGCTCTTCGACATACAACCTGCTCCCCTTCTGATTGCGCTCCATGATCAGCTCGAAGGTCATGTTCGGCAGGGTCGCCGCTCCGGGATTCGAAGGTCTCATGCCAGACGGGATAACTGAATCGGGCTTCTTGCCCAGTCGTATCTCCTCTCTCTCCTTGGCCAGCTTCTTGAGCCTTTTTTGGTGGAGGTATTCGATGATTCGGGTGCACCAGACGAGGGTGAACCATTCTGGCACATCAGCGAGAATCGTCTTCAAGGTCCTGACCGGCTCGAGAGCCGCTGCGTTCAACCTGATCATGGCATCGGGGTCTTTGAGTGATTCAAACTCGGAGAGGCCAGAGTCCTCGAACGCCAGATTGATAATAGATTCGACATCTTCGAATTGAGCTTGACTCAGCCCTAAGGCCTTCCTGAAGTCTTCCGGTTTGAGGTTGGATGGCTTGGGCAGCAGGCTTTTGAGCTGCTCCTCACGCTCCCCCTCAGTGTAGCGCTCCCTGAGAGGGCGAGGCTCACTTCTCACAGACATCTCTGAACTCGTCGTTCCTGCGGTCAGTCTACTTTTCGCACCTCGAACTTGCAGGGGATTTTCAGACGAGGGTACAGACCCTGTCGTCAAAGGGTATTTGATTGCACATAACAATCTTTGTCCTGGTCCGAGGATTCTTTCTCGATGGCTGCGATGAAAGAAATTTGGGCCGCCTCGAGCATTACGCCCGATGCGGCAATCTCGATACAACAAAGGGTCCAATGCATCGACGAACGATACCGACCGTTTTCAGCCAAATGTAGAGAAGTCGAGACTGCATGATGGATACAGTGTATTATTTGTAAGAAACGTTGTAATCGCGCAGGCCCCGTAATCGCGGCTGCTCAATCGTAGTAGCCTCTGTTAATAATAAGCGAGCTTTAGCTTAAGCGTAAACAGGCCGCATTTGAATGCGAGGGGACCATCTCGAGCTGGCTGAAAGCCCAGGCACGAATGCTACAGGCTGTTGCAGAAAGACAAAACGTTGTCTGCTGAAGAGGGACTTTTTGAAATTAATACAATATCAAAAGTATTATAGCTGCAAGCCAGCTTGTTCACAATATGAGTTGCATCACACCCACAGTCCCGTAAATGAGGAGCCTTGTAACATCGTAGCCACATCCATGGCTAATCACGACGGGTTTGGAACGGGCCGTCATGGCGATTCATGACCAAGGAGTTGATAAGTTCCCAGGGTTGTGATGCCAGCGATATAAAATAGAGTGAAATGTGTAAAGTAAGACAAAAAAAGTGAAATAAAATTATGGCTCCTTTCTGTGTGCGAGAAATCAAGATGCTAAGCTGCATCCTTTCACCCAGGTTATACTAACACAGTAAACGTGTAAAGTATGGCCTAATCCGAAAGATGAAAGCCTAATTCATGGCATTAGCATTCGATCGAACAAGCCAAGGACATGTATTCTGCTTTTCCCGAACCAATCTATTTCTTTCTTTCTTTCTTTCTTTCTACTGGCCGTCCCAGCAGGAGGTCCGTTCCAGGCTGGGTGTCTCGAGATGCCAATCTTGTACTTTGACGTACACAAGGTGAGGGCATACACAGTCTTTAACCACAGCAGCTGGGCACTTGAGCCCCGGTCGCAGTCGCAAAGCAATGGAAGCAATGCCGCCGTTGTTGTATCCCATCATTCTACCCACCCGCCTCACTTCTTTCCATCCTCAACAACCAACTCCTTCAGCTTCTCCTCGATGCCCTTCCTATCAGCCGCTTCTCCCCTCCCATCATCCGCCTGTGCCTCCCCGTCACTCATATCCTCGTCTGCATCCGCGCTTCCCTCTCCAGCACCACCGCCCACTCCCGCTTCCAGGCCCTCTCCACCCTCCTTCAACACCCACTCCACAACGTCCTTCTTGTCATTCAACTCGGCCTCATACACCGCATCATGGCCCTTCTGATTCGCAATCGTAGGATCCGACCCCTCGTCCAGCAGCACCTTCACAGCCTCGAGGTGGCCATTCAGAGCCGCCCAGTGCAGCGCCGTGTTGCCCGCCTTGTTCTGGGCGTTGAGGACGGACAGCATAGCTGGGTTCTGCGGGGAGGAGGAGCCCGTGAGGGCTTTGCAGAGGGAGAGGAGGAGGGCTGGTAATTCTATGTCAGCAGAGCAATCAAGCAA